CAAAGATATGTACCAATATTTTTTTTTAGGGGGGAAATTCATCAAATGACTGCTCCCGCCTGGGTGAGGCGGAACCCAGGCGAGAGGGAGTGTCAGACTCTTACTGACTAAAAACCACCCCGTTCCTTCTCCTGCACGTCGAGCCGGAGTCCCGGTAACCCGTTAGGTTCTCGCTGACAGATATATATATGTATAAGATTACGCTGATAAGTGATAACTTGAGATTATGTGTTTATTTATAGAGTATGGGAATGTGAAGCATTCAAGTAAGTAGGTAACACGAAATCGAGTAAAAATCGCGGGTTACTCACGTGAATATACCACAGAATATACTGAGAAAACCTCTACTAGAGGTAGTTTCGTAAGTAACACGAGTTTTTTGATATGTAACAACAAACTCTACCAAGTAGTGAACTTGATGAAAGCAATAAAAATTCAATTAAATTATTTATTAATACCTATTAATTATTATTACGCTATATTTTCCCTATGAACATTCCATTCGGAAAACTCGTAGGCTATGAAACAGGTGCAAGTTTAGTAATTAAATATAGAGGTAGATACCTAGTTATTCCCTGAATCGATTACAAATAATATAATTTATTGATAATGGAAACTTCAAATGAATACTGAGAATTACAGATAAACTTATTAAATACCTACTTATTTGTAATAACGTATATGTGTACAATTAATACTATAATTTTCATGAAAACCTTTTCGTAGAATGCACAATACTTGATTATTTTCTTTTACACTCATCTTCATCAATCGAGGCGATTAGTAATAATATGCATAGTGTAGAAAAGTAGTTAATGGACCCAAAAACCAGCCAATGCGGAGGAGGCAGTGGTATCCTCTCAATTTTTGATAATTTAACTCCAAGTCACCCATGAAGCGACTGAGGATTGTAGAATGTAGATATAAAACACAATGTAGTACAAATATTATGTAGATGTATGTATGTATAGTATTTATATGATTATTGTACATTTTACTATGGGCCAAGATCCCTGAGACAAATAAATAAATAAATAAAATGTGGTAAACGTATGTTGGTCTTAAGATTTACGAATTCCTTGTCGTCAATAAATTAAAATTTTATACAATATATTACTTCCTCCTTTTTAGAACTACAAGTAAATACATAAGAATTCACATAAATTACGAATCGGACGAATTTTAATACATTACTACGCAGTTTATCGATTTTTCTACTTTTTTTTCGAGTTCGCATAACAGTAAAAACCAGTTGACATTTTGGCACGTGCAATTTTATGGCGCCGGACAGAATTAAACAAACTTTCACTATATTTCTGACATAAAAGTGACAGTGCATTTAAAGAGAGAACATCTTATGTAATTATTATTAATCAGCAAAAAAGAGGTAGGTCTGTATTAAAAGATGGCTACATTCCAGTTACGTAACGGCTCACGCCTTTCTTCTTTTATTGAAGACGATTATTAATATTTTAGTAAGAAAAACGATTCTTTCATAAAACGACTTATTAGGTATAAAACTTGTTACTGACTTCTATTCTTTTTCTAGATGGACATAATAAATTGTGTCCTGCACATTAGTTTGACATACACTATGACGATAAAAATACTATTCTTTCATCGAATACTTTGAAAGACGTGCTATGGTATCATACAGCGTAACTTCTTAACTAAGTAAAAGTATATTTCATCAATATCATTGATATTCAAGGACTACGCATTAAACAGCGACTGTACCTAACAAATGCTCTAATAAAGAACCTTTAAAACTGTTTTACCTGCCGAACGTGGAAATTATACCAAATTTTCTTATCGTAAAGGAAATCTTTTTTCTTTTTTTTTGAGGGGGGAAAATCATCCAAAGACATTTCCCGCTCGGGTGAAGCGAGAGGGAGTGTCTGACTCTTACTGACTAAAAACCACCCCGTTCCTTCTCCTGCACTTCGAGCTGGAGCCCCGGCAACCCGTTAAGTCTTCCGCGGCTCATCGTAGAGGAAACCTATGAATGATTAATGGACGAGTCACATAGAGTTTCGAGTCATAGAGGGGCTCTTCCTCATGAACAGCGTGCACGGTCGCAGCGATGTCGCGCAGCCTACGAGCTTTAACGATGAACTGCACCAACACAGCCAGGATAGAACGACCAACCTTTTTAAATAAATTTCATCATACAAATACTTAATGACTTCTGTAGGAAACGCAATACATAGTACTAACACATACATGTATCTAAGATCTCGGTGCCATACCAGAGAGCATGGAAAGTGGATTACACTTGAAGATAACCTTCCCACGCGTGTTGGCAAGCCGATAGAAATTGCTTGAGAGTTGAGAATACGTCGCGTTGAACCAGTAACCCGATCCGCTCCACTTCTTACGAGTGTAAGTATTTAGGTACTTGAATTATGTATTCGTAAAGCAATATCGACTGTCTACGTTTTTATATACATAGGCATATGGTCGTAAACAGTACATATGATGTATTTGGATGTATGGAATTAGGTTTTTATGGGAAAGGAAGCAAACAAACGCCTGTTGGTACGTTATCAGTGAAAAGCAAGTCCAGAGCTGCGGATACGCAAACGGGTTAGTTAAAAAACGGTTAAAATAGGATAGTTTTTAGTCAGTAAGACTCTGACAATCCCTCTCACCTCACCTAAGACAGGAGAGTCATTGGATGATATTCCCATGTCAAAAAAGGGATCAGTCAGATCACCTGGTGGTAAGATTAGTAAAATGACCAGTGGCATCCATATAATATGTACAGCAGTGGTCAAAAGTGCACTACCAGTCTCAAAAAACGATTGCTGTATATTATAAAAATATGAGGTAGATTTGAAACAGAGTGATAAGTTCACTTTAAATCTAAATCTACCCTCATATTTTAACAACTTTGAACGTTGTACATACATACCTACATTATTTTTAGATAGATAATAATATAGGTACGTTAGTTTTGAACTGTAATTAAACTGTCAAACACCGAGCGGTCACCGGTGACCGCAGCCTATTGTTATTTAATTGTATCTATAATGACGGAACTCAAAGAGTTAAATTAACGTAAGTACTTAATATCTTACAAGAAAACCTTTACAAACACGTTATAAGACGATAAACAGTAGATACGATATCTAATTATTACTAAGACATGACATAAAACATTAGTTTCGTTTTATTTTTAACCGAATCCATTAATTATATCATCTATAACACATTAAACAACTTTGTTTAATTAAAATTAATGTGACAGAAGATTAACTAGTCAGTTTAAGTTCAAGGTAGCGATATATAAGTACCCAAGTACACGTATGAAAAAATATGGCCACTTTAATCGAAATCGTTCAAGGGCCAATGGCCGTATTTAGCCATTTAAATTAAGCTTATACTAAAATACTGCTAATTATTAAATAAACTTCTCGTTTTATGTATTGTATTAATTGTTTATTAACGTGTTGTGTTGTATTCGTTCGTGGTATTCAGTTTAATACAACAAACAAGTTATGAAGACTAGGTATAATTTATAATTATAATTTTATGATATAATCCGAGGTCAAAATGTATGATGATGATATTTCATGAATAATTTAGGTATTAAGTAATTAAATTATTTTAATTTTTTAATCATCTTAAATAGTGATTTAACTGTTTATCCGACTTTAGGCATTTATGAATGGGTTAATTAAATATTGTTATTATTTAAATTAATTGTTTTTTCTCAGCATTGTGATGTAAATTACAGTTTGTAAACTTTAAATGGGAATACGATGCTTCATATATTATTTAATAGTTATACTACATTTGATGATTATAACCGCAAAATCAAAATAAGTTACTTATATTTTTTGAATAAATAATTACTTTCAATACAATCTACGTACAATTAAAATGAATCACGCAAGTAGGTAACCCTCAAATGGCTGCGTGGAGTGTGCATAGAGATCCATTCAAAAAGAAAAAAGGAAAGAAAGAAAAAAACTTTTTTTTCCCTCTTTGGCAACCGAGTCTCCAAAACGAAGTTGTCGACTATACTGCCAGTGTCCAGTGGTGACGGCAGATTAATGAACCGTCGAACTTAACTTTGCGGTAGTTTTTAGTTGTTAGTAGCTGAAAGGACATAACAATTGGGTTAGTAAACATACATATAAATATTATCAACTATTTTACTGTATGTATACAGAGGTGTATAAAATAGTTAACTTTATTTCCCGCCGAAAATCAAGTGACATGTACAAATAAGTGATTCTATTAGTAGGAACTGATGGATACATGTTCATGTCCCAAGTCTGCCGCGAAATGGGACCACCAGCATGTGCAAGACAGGGCCCTTGCGCTAGTATAATTGGTTGGTAATGGCTGGTATAAATTTGGGATATTAATGTGGATAAAAAATACACATTCACCTGGATTTTGCCAATAGCATTCGACCAAAATCGGGATAGGTAGATAATAGTTTGCTTCTATAATAAGAAATCTTATTATATTTTGAGTTAGTGAGTTAATTAGTCCGTGCGGCACCTACATAACAAACTCTGGGCGCATAAAAAACAAAACCTTGTTGTTTTCGTCTAAAATCAAAACGTTTTGCTCACTTACCACTGAAATTGCAAAATTCACCTTGTAGATGATAATTAAAAGAATAAAAATCTAACTAAACTACATATAAATTAAGTTTGATTGACCTTTCTTGATAAATTGCATAATATTCTCGTAAATGCGAACACTTGCAACAGATGCATCGAATATTTAAAAGTTGACAGAAAGACCTAGGTTTTAGTGGTTCATTAACTTTAATTGACATTTAATATTGCAGCTCTAAATCATGTTATAGACTCTATTACTTATAACAATAATGTTGAAACTTGTTAATTCATTATATGAGTAAATCATTAACTAACCTCATTAGGTAGTCAACAAGAAAGAAAACAATGAGAAAGACTAAGAAACTCCGTCTATTTCGGCTATTTCATTTGAATATTAATAAAAAGTCAAAGAAAACTCACGTTTCAGCGCTTTTCCTTCAGGCGTGCACCGAACAGCATTAATCAAACAATCCACATAGTTCCTAACGAGCCTCTTGTTCGTGAAAATTGCATCGACGTCCAAATAATCGTATCTCTGATCGTATTTAGGCATGTTTACCATGTCATTAACATCTTGTCCCACCACTAAATGCACTAGAGCACAAAGTAACAACACTGCACGCATTTTTAATTTAATATTTTACGTTAAACTAAGAACTCATTCACATAATAAAATTGCGGAGAAAAAAGGCGCGAATTTGCTTGGCGATGGCGTGCGCGCGCACCGGCCGGGCGTGTTGTTGTGGTCCGCGCGTGCGTACTACCGCTGTTATAAGGTAAAGCTGTGCACGCGAACATCTAGATGCTTTCTTGCCAACTTCTGAAACAAACAGGTTGTGTTCAAGGGTAGGATTCAGATGTTATTGAGGAGAATTAACTCCCTTGAGTTTTAGATTTTTGAGATTTTCTTGTCTGATCGTGAATTGGGTAGGATCATTGCTTTTCCTTAACTCGTCGAGTACCGGTTTTATAGACACAATTAAAGAACAATAGATCGCGGTCACCGGTGACCGCTTGGTGTTTGACAGTTTAAGCTGTTAAAAAATATGGTAATGATTAAATATGTAAATAGCCATTAAAAAAATATTTCAACACTTATTGCCTGCTACTAGGATTGGATAGATCGTTTCATAATAAAGATTAGCTAGGAAGGTACCTATATGGATTTCGAGTTCCAAATACCTATGTATGTCGCGGAAAACCTAACGGGTTACCGGGGCTCCGGCTCGACGTGCAGGAGAAGGAACGGGGTGGTTTTAGTCAGTCAGAGTCTGACACTCCCTCCCGCCTCACCCAGGCGGGAGTAGTCATTCGAAGATTTTCCCCCCTTAAAAAATACCTATGTATATTATTATGTTGTACCTATATATATTTGTATAACTCAGTACCCCGGGATCAGCGAGAAGGTCATGATTATAAAAATGTACAGATGAACTTCATTAAAGCAATTAAATTCAACGAAATCCTGATTCATAGCGATATTTCAATTATTTCAAGAACTAAGAACTAAGGTCAACAAATAAAGATTTCATCTTTTTCTCGGAAAACTTCACTAAATAGGTACCACCAACTTGTATTTCTGGCGGAAATGACATTTACAAAAATAGTAGATGGCAATAAAAAAGAAAATCACATCTTTTCGATTGTTTTATTGGAAATCTGTGTCAACGTCCTCTTTTGAAGAATGGATAATTTCGAGAAATGTTTATTTTGTACTTAAATACAACACTCTCACTCATTAAATGTACCGTTAATGTGTTATTTCCTTTATGTTGTGTTTACAAGAATTGTGAATTATCTTGACCAACACTATAATAACAATAATTCAGAGAAAACAATGCCACTGCTAATTATGAAGTTTGAGACGTTGTTCACAATATGTGAGTTACTAGTGTTGTGTTTAATGGCACCTTATTTAATTCAAAACAATTTTTACCGACTTCAAAAAAGAAGGAGGAGGTAGGTACTATGTTCGGCTGATTATTTTTTTTTGTTTGTTCGCGCATATTAATTACTCCTCCATTTGTAAACCGATTTCCAAAATTCTTGTTTTGTTTGAAAGGGTATACTCCCGAGATAGTCCCAATTTCATGAGGTCAGGATTCAATGATGGGATCCTAGGGAAACTGAGGGGAACTTTCGAAAATTGTAGGGGCGAGTAATGCGTCTATTATGTTTTTCAATTAGGATTTTTAAACACTACAATTTGATAAGGGTCTGGAGTCGGCCTGATAACTGCGTTATTAGGTACATGTACTACTTTATGTAAATAATTTAAAAACTGAACTAAAAGTAAAGTAAACCTACATAGATATAATCTCATTTGTAAGTTTAAAACTAAACTCCCACGTAAGTACCTTTTTTTTCCTTCTTGGCAACGCAGTCTCCAATACAGTGTTGTCGACTATACTGCCAGTGTCGGGTGGTGACGGCAGATTATTGGGCCGTCGAACTTAACTCCCACGTAAGTACCTATCTACATTCATAGATTTACCTAGCACATCAAAACTGATTACTTCGATAAAACCTCCGCTGATGATGTATCGCTGAATAGGAGTTGCGTGTACGCCGGCATGAAAACATTTACTAGGAAGAGCTATTGTGTGCGACCAGCGGTACGGAACCCACAATACGTATTACCATAAATTAGGACTGAAATTGTTTCGACAGGTTTACACATCATGGAGATTGCCCCAGATACATGCATAGGAGTATTTTTGTTAATAAATTGAATTGGCATTTGGATGTAGCTTTGTATTTGATTTGTATATGTAATATGGAAATAGGTTCACATTACTGGGATCCAGACCTTTGTCTTGTCGCGGAGATCCTAACGGGTTACCGAGGCTCCGGCTCGACGTGCAGGAGAAGGAACGGGGTGGTTTTTAGTCAGTAAGTCTGACACTCCCTCCCGCCTCACCCAGGCGGGAGAAGGCATTAAATGCTTTTCCGCCCTTAAAAAAAAGACCTGTCTTCTTGTGACTTCTGGAAGCTTTCTAAAATAATTTGAAAAATGGTTAGGAGAGAAAAGAAAGAAAGATGAATGAGAAAATGGGGTTTATTAATTTTGATTTAAATACGGGGTAAATAGGTAAACTCGTAGTTTGAATTATATTATGACATAAAAAGTAGGTACTCAAATAAAAAAGATAATAAAATGTTCAAACGATGTAGGCAGGCACTCAAACTAAACCCATTTCTTGTTCTAATATTGCATTATGAACGCGTATGACGATTGGGTTTTCTCAAAATTATTTTCCTCCTATTTTTTGTATTTGCTCCTCTATCTCTTTACCTAATCTAAGTTGCAATAAATCATTATTTATGATTATAGTCTTAAAACCTATTTTATTGTAGCGAAAAAGACAGCAATAAACAATGCCTCTGTCGATTTTACAAATACAATAAGACCTACAGGTTGAATTTTCATATCAAACATTCGTTTTTTATATTAACTTACTAGATTCGTAACACTTCACATTCGTTATCTGTGATTAAGTAAGTAAACAAATACCACAAAAAAAAGATACCATAAAGTTCGAAAGTAGAATTCGCAAATGACATTTCGTCCTTTTCGACAATATGGCGCCAAAATTTTAACACTTGCTCGTGAATGAAGAATTCCGTTCTTTAGAAAGTCGGTTACATGCCACTGGACGGGCATGTTTACCAAAATATTTATTACGAACTCGTTTTTCATTTGCAAATCCAAAAAAGTAATAATTTTACCATAATTTGAAAACTTTTATTTTGATTAATGATATCGATTATTTTAAGAACTGAATAATAATTTCTCCTTTTCTACCAATAATGACTTTATATTTTCATTTAGGCAATAATGTTTAATTACTGATTTTTTTTAATAAGGACTATAAGTATGTTATTTTTTACTCACCAAATGTTAATTAGTGTTAGTTTTTTATGTTAATTGTAATGTAGACGCAATAAAACTTAGACCCTTATGAACATTGCAGTTATGTTACTTGAGAACAAGATAATTCTCTAGATTATTCCACAAGCATACCTACAATCCTACATCAATAATATTGTGTTTCCAAATAGATGGTTTATAATTAATTTTAATAAAACCTGCCACCATTCATTATTAGATCTTATTTATGCTCTATTCCAGCGACTACAATCTAGTCACTAGATGGATAAACAACGTAGTTTAGTAGGTAGGTATATATGTATAAATTAACTAGCTGCTTCCGCGCAGTTGCACCCGCTCTGGTCAGCTCCTATTAATCGTAGCGTGATATTTTGTATCTTTTAACATTCCTCGATAAATGGACTAACCAACACAAAAATAATTATTCAAATCAGACTAATAGTTACAGGGATAAACAAATAAACAAACAAACTCTTCAGCTTTATATGTATAGTAGTATAAGATTTATGTCCAATATTTTATGATCCACCCAAAGAGGAAAAACATAAATAATACGAATGAATACGAATTTAAATAATTTGATTTTTAGAAACAAATAATTTTAAAATTCCTATTTTAAAATGATCGCGGTTTAATTTTTTGCTTTTCCTCAATTTTTGCTCTTTGGCTCAATCTGTATTTTACTAAATTAATAACATCTGCTTTTAAATACCATCTTACAGGTCGGCCAGTAGCAAGAGACCTGCTTTAAGCAGCCACCTGGGACTTTCTTTCTTTCTTCTCCTCTTATAATATCTTCTGATTTACTTCGTTGCGGGAACCAAGACAGTTATTCATGTCTCTGGGACGCGCCGGACTTCAGTGTTCCGGTGTTTTCATGGTAGTATATACTGTAGATCCTGGCTTACAGGAGTTGCAGCGGTTTCGGGAGGTTGTGGCGGGCTTGTCCCATTACAAAAGCCACCTGGGACGTTCATCGTCTTTCCAAAAATACTTAGTTCTCAGAAATCATGTGCAGAAGTGGATATCTGCCTCGGTGGACGAGTAGTCGTAAGTGGGCAAGGGATCTAGGGTTCGATTCCCGAATCGGACAAAGTATTACTGAGTTTAAAAAAAATCTCAGTAGTAGCACGGAGTCTGGAATAGTGCCCGGTATATTTATGGCAATAGGCTCACCCCTATTACATGGGACTCATAACATGTGATAATAAAAGTGTCATTAAGTGCAATGACACCGTCTATTCCTAACCTCTGCCTATTCCTTTTATTTAATAGGTCTTATGACAAATCATATGGCTGCACAGTGCACCGGGATTCTTTATTACAATTTTGAAAAAGCTTATATTGACCATAAATATCAATACTGTTAGTTCGAAACACAACCGCGTGGTCTTATTAGCTGTTCTTAAAATAAATCAGTGACCTCTAGTATTTTACCTGAAACCTGTTTCAATTTATTGATGTATTTATAAATAAATATCCAGAACATTCTGAATATTGTAAACGTTATTTATTTTATTCTTTTACGAAATTAGCAAGGGTCATATATTTACGTTCACGTCATGAAAAGACTGAATCCGTCGAATTCTGAACACCAAAACACCAGCCAATAGTTTGTCTTTAACTGATTTTCGTCGGTTTATGAACCGATTTTGTAAAATGTACTGGAATTAAAATCTCAAATTCCTTTTTTTTTCTTTTGAACTGTCAAACACCAAGCGGTCACCAGTGACCGCGACCTATTGTTCTTTAATTGTGTCTATAAATACGATACTCGACGAGTTAAGAAGGAAAAATCATCCAATGACTTCTCCCGCCTGCGTGAGGCGAGAGGGTCAGACTCTTACTGACTAAAA